GATAATACTTGTGAGGTGTGTGTTATGGTTTTGCAGGAAAATAAAAAAAACTCGTGCACAGTGGACATTGGGTGGAGTGAACTTTTATTGAGAGGGTTCAATTATGTACAAATTAACTCATGACATCAAGTGAGAACTCTATATCTGGAGATACTGTCTGCAAAAGAGGATTTCCCTAAATTTTATGAATGGAATAATGCAGCTGCTTTTAGTTCATGCCTAAAAGTCTTCATTTAAAGGATTTCTGTGAATCACTATATAATCCTTATTGGAACCATCCCTGCATTAGATGGGGCCCATGCTCTGATCTCTGCGGCCTAAATCTGTTCAGATGAGGGAAGCATTTTCCCATTTTAAGGCTGGATGAGGCCTTCTAGCAGCAAAGCTATAACCCTGCTAGGCAGCAACTGGTGTCCTCCCCAGAAACCCCCGCGAGCCCCGCGGCGGCTCCTTATACGGCCGTCTAGGTGGGTCTGCGGGGCTCTAGCGGAGGTCAGAGCGACAGGTCCATGTATGGAGCGCGCAAACTGCTCGCTGGGGGCGCACAGCGTCACACCCGATCCCCATCAATGAGAGCCTGATGGATAGAGCCCCCACCCTCAGACCCCCCGCTGTCCTCCCAACCCACCGACCCCACCCACCCACTCCCGCTGCCTGAGCCTGGCAGCATCCTAATATGGCCGAGGGCCGGGATGGGGGCCAGTGCTGCGCTTCTTGAATGGTGGAAGGCGGGTATATAAGCGGGCCGGCAGCGGCCAGGACTCCAGCTGGTTCAGCAGCAGCACTGGTTGGGTCGTTCTCTCCGAGCCGCAGACAAACACCTAAGGTAAGACCCCTGCAAGGAGCCTCCGCTTCTGAAGCCTCTCCTCTGGTAGGGCAGCAGACTGCAGGCCGCAAAGGAAACATTAGAGTATCCTGCTGGGATGAGGAAAGGGATGCAGCGCCTAGAACCAGTTAGTGTTAATGGAAGATATGGGATAACTCGTAAAATTAATATAAGTGATGCGAAAGAATTAGACAGAGACTTAGGAAGCGAGAATATGGAACCATTCCTAATTACGAATTGGTCTTGGTTAAATTCAAATGTGTTGTAAGTCTTATGCATCTCCACATGAAAAAGTCTCACCATTAGATTAAAAAATCATGATCCAAGGCAGGCTCTCATTTTCTAAGCTTTAAGGGTAAATTTTTTTTACTAAGAATTATCTCCAGTGACATAATTTGTCATTCTACATCCACATTTCGCCTTAAAGTTGCTTAATGTTTCTATTTAAGTTTAATACAATTTCGATCAAACTTATTTTTTTTTCCTCTGTTCTGAGAAAATCTGCTATTATGTTTGTCGTTTTTTAAGCAAAGACTTCAAAATTGAAGCTCATATCCCATGCGTAATAGTTTGGCACAGACGCGTGTAGCGCAGAGGATGGATCAGACTCTCATTGTTTGGAAATCTTAGTCATCTTGATCTAGATACTTATCATAAAGTTTTCTGTGAATTAAAACTTTTTACCACGTGCTGAGTTGATTCAGTGCGCTCAGATCTTTCTGTTTCTCTCCTCTCCGCAACAGAAGCCAACATGTGTGACGACGATGAGACTACCGCTCTTGTGTGCGACAACGGCTCCGGCCTGGTGAAGGCTGGCTTCGCCGGAGACGACGCCCCCAGGGCCGTGTTCCCCTCCATCGTCGGCCGCCCCCGTCACCAGGTATAACCAACGGAGAAAACCTCTAAATTGTTAGACTTCAGTACAAACTAATAGGCCTTTATTTGATTGCTGATAGAATTGTGACATATAAAAAAATTATAGGAAATAAAAAGATATATTTATAATTATTCCTACTGGAATAATGAAAGCTTTATCTTTAGTTATTTTTAGAGTGAGCCATGTAATCTGGACTATTGTCACAGGTGGTGCCTTTGTGACGCGTGCTGCTATTTGGCACATTTACGCAACGATCCCTAGAGACTGTCACCAGTCTGGCTTCACAAAGGTCACACCACTGTGTCTGCGCCTATGGATAACCCTTTCTTTTCCACCTCTCCCCCGTCCTACAGGGTGTCATGGTCGGTATGGGTCAGAAGGACTCCTACGTCGGCGACGAGGCCCAGAGCAAGAGGGGTATCCTGACTCTGAAGTACCCCATCGAGCACGGCATCATCACCAACTGGGACGACATGGAGAAAATCTGGCACCACACCTTCTACAACGAGCTGAGAGTGGCCCCTGAGGAGCACCCAACCCTGCTCACTGAGGCCCCCCTGAACCCCAAGGCCAACAGGGAGAAGATGACCCAGATCATGTTTGAGACCTTCAACGTCCCTGCCATGTATGTGGCTATCCAGGCTGTGCTGTCCCTGTACGCTTCCGGTCGTACCACTGGTGAGAAAGAAAAAAAAACACTAACAGCTGCAGCTCTTCACAAAGATGCAAAAAATTAAAAAATAAATAATTAACTCATTTGATGTTTTAAATTCGATAATTATACGCACAACATTTCATCGTCTGCGCATCTTTTCCTGAGCTGCAGCCAGAGGCATCACGTTTTAACATCTGTTTGGCATCGTGATTTCACTAAACCCACCCTGCTGCCTCCTCTCAGGTATTGTGCTGGATGCCGGTGATGGTGTGACCCACAACGTCCCAGTCTATGAGGGTTACGCTCTGCCCCACGCCATCATGCGTCTGGACCTGGCTGGTCGCGATCTGACCGACTACCTGATGAAGATCCTGACTGAGCGTGGCTACTCCTTCGTGACCACCGGTGAGACATCTTAAAAACAAAAAAAGAAAAATATAATGTAACCCCGCACTCGCTTCTTTGATCTCTAAATAATAACTCCCCAACTTGCCCACTAACAGCTGAGCGTGAGATCGTGCGCGACATCAAGGAGAAGCTGTGCTACGTCGCCCTGGACTTCGAGAATGAGATGGCCACCGCTGCCTCCTCGTCCTCCCTGGAGAAGAGCTACGAGCTTCCTGACGGTCAGGTCATCACCATCGGTAACGAGAGGTTCCGTTGCCCCGAGACCCTCTTCCAGCCTTCCTTCATCGGTACATCAATTATTGTTTTATCTATAATTAGATCACTACCCTTACCACACAAGTCCTCCTAACACTTGCCCTCTCACCTAAACAGGAATGGAGTCTGCTGGCATCCATGAGACTGCCTACAACAGCATCATGAAGTGCGACATTGACATCCGTAAGGATCTGTACGCCAACAATGTGCTCTCCGGCGGTACCACCATGTACCCTGGTATTGCTGACCGTATGCAGAAGGAGATCACTGCTCTGGCCCCCAGCACCATGAAGATCAAGGTAAACAAAAAATATATACAAAAGCAAACTAGATCCAAATACTCTACGCACAAACATGCGCAATTACGCACACATTAATAACCATCTGCCCGCTTCTCCTCTTTAGATCATTGCTCCTCCCGAGAGGAAGTACTCCGTCTGGATCGGTGGCTCTATCCTGGCTTCCCTGTCCACCTTCCAACAGATGTGGATCTCCAAGCAGGAATACGACGAGGCCGGCCCCAGCATTGTCCACAGGAAGTGCTTCTAAATCCCCCATCTTCTGCTTCTCCATCTGCACCAGCCACCCGGAGAACGAGCGAGGAGAGGAGAAAAGCTCTGCGGCACAGCAACACTCTGCTGTCAATGGACTGTCTTTCTGCGCCCTTGACGTCCAAAATTCAATTTATATTGTTTTTTTTTAATCTGCATAGCTGTTTGTTGTCTGTGTTGCACGGAGAAAGGCTGTGAAAACAACCACTGAACCATGCATACGCCAAAAAAAAACTTTAATAAAAAAAAGTATAACAACATGTTGCCCAACACATGTGAATGTAAGTGTATATATACATATTGATAATTTATTAAAGTCCATTATTTGGTATTTTTGCCAGTGGCCTTGGTTTTCTATTAAAGGGTGAAAACTGTGGAAGCATCTAAAACAACAGTGAAATTAAATCAGAACTTCAGGTTTTCTTTAACAGGAACAATCAAACCAACTTAACCATCTTTATTTGCTCCACCTGGAAACCTAAGCCTGTCATAAAAAATATATCCTTCCTTTTTTCAAATAACAAATCGTATCATTAACTTTAATCCTCAGTATACTCAGCACATTAATATAAATCATGTCTCTTACCTCATTAAATGCCCGTTTTAACACCTCAGTCTCTCGATCGCTCTTAAAAAACAATAATAAACAAAAGCTCTAAATTTAAAATTGATAATCTACCACTTTATTGATATATTGGCTTATTGGATTCTTGATGCGGTTGGATTTTTCAAAAATCCCTCTGACAGGTGTTTACCTGTTTTGCTCCAATGAGCAATTAACACACACATGAAAAAAATAGTTTTCATGGAAAAAATGTATCCAACTCAAATATTCAGTTCAAAATATCATACTGTTTAGGAGGGGAAAAAAGGTTTCTAGGCCCTATGAGAGTAAATGAGCTGTGAGAAGCTCACATCAGATAAAGGGATGGATAGGTGTTATGAAGGTGCGCCACATCATCCTCAGTTCCTGTGGGTGGGGTGGGGGTGTTCTTGGTCAGATTAGTGGGGTCTTCTTCAACACTCACATTTAGAATAGCACTTGGCAGGAATGCGCACTGGCAACAGGAGCAGCTCTGCTGTTACTGTCTGGATCAGTAGTCCTGGGACACCTGACACCCTCCCTGGCTACCAGGACCATTTTTAGTCGAAGGCATACTTTGTGTCCAGACCGACCCTCTTGGAAAGCCCTGCCTTATATGCCTATGATCTCACCAGGTTATCTGAGAGTAGGGTTAGGTTAGAAACTTAAAAAAAAAGCCATGTTTCTGAAATCATGTTCTAATAATACAACTCTAGATCCATTTTTATAGTAAAGCACAATACATGTTTTATATAGCCTAAATGTAAATTAAAAAATTACATTATGTTTGAATAAATACATCTTTGAAAAAAAGGAACGTTTTTTTTTCTTATTAGAAAACAAAGGCAGCCACCTGTTGTGGGTTTGTTCGGTTTCCTCAAATCGTCCTCGCAGGCGGGCGGAGCTACGCTCTGTGTTGATCCAGCCGCGCCATCTGCCCTGGACTGCTTCCGTGAAATCTGGGTTGCAGTAAGTATGTGTACTGTACGCTAAATTAGACCTGATGCAGGCGATAGTTGCTCCCGTAGAGCAGGTGAACTGCTGCAGTCTGCAGTGGAAGGATTGTTTGATGGATCCGCAAAGCTGCTCCGTTAGAGCCGCTGATGGACGATGACAGCGGCGCTCCCAAAGTGCCACCATAGTTAATCTGGCGCATAGACTGAGATAACACTGATATATCTGTGATAACACGTGAGGAAATATGCGATCTGTTTTGATGATAGTGAATAGTGTAAAGGGCTACTTATGATGGAGAATCATCCATGCCTAATATGGTGAAACTGAGAGAAAGGTAGAAATCAAACATGTTCAGTGATTTAAAGCCGATGGGTTTAATAGCAGCGAGTAGTTTCTTTCTTTGTCTTTTAATATCTTTATTGCTTTGCTCATTTCGTACCGACGGTGAAGGACTTTGATCTTTTTGTTACTTGATGATCAAACTATAAGCTGAGAGAGCAGGCGGGTCCTGAACATGGGCGGAGCTAGATGGGGGGCCAGGGCCACCCTTAGCCAATCATTGGCCACCCCTAGCATTTATTTCCATCTAATATAAACAGTGGCAGCAGTAATACTCTCAAGTGGGATATTCAAAACATTTTAATTTTTCATATATTAACAATTACTTGACAAAAAAAACAATGTGGTTAATTATGCACATCAATATACTAACATTAAAGAGGATAAGTACAGAATTCAAGCAGAAATAGATTTTGTGTTTTATGGGGTTTAAGAGAAAATGATGTGTCTCTGCAAGTCAACTAGGAGTCTTCAGTGAAATAATAAATAAATAACTATTTTAATAAAAACTTATTAAATAATAAACGTATGTAGATATTATTACTTGTAAATATCAAGTTTATGCAGAATGATTATTGATAAAAGTAGGTAAGTAATGACAATGGAAAACATGTTTGCCCAAAACTCAAACCTGAGAGAATTTTATCCACTATACCCTTTATTAAGAAAACACAGATGTTTGAATATATTGTTAGGAAAGGCTGTGGAAAAGTATAGTTTGTCTTTATTAAGAAAATATGATTGTTTTGCTCGTTAATTCCTGTTGGAACAGTATAGATTGAACATGGGTTTTTTTTCTGCCTATCTACCTTCGGCCACCCCTTAGTGTAGAGTCCTGCACGGCTCGAGTTTTACCAACCCGCACCCGCCCGAACCCGTTAGGATGACTACCGAACCCGACCTGTCACCCGTGGATATCTTCAATTCTAATCCGAACCCGACCCGACCCGTTGATATTTAACCCGCAACCCGACCCGTTAACACATCAAGTAATCGGCTAAAGTACGCTGCGCTGCAGAGCAGCGCCATTAACACTGCAGCAGACATGTATGCACTGACTGACACCTTTTTGGAGGAGAGCCTACACTGCCGGCAGGGCTTTAAGCTACAACAAGTGTGACCCCAGTGCCTGATTAATATAACATTTCTGATGTCCATAACAACACACACGCATTAAAAAGAAATCGACAACTACCCGCCCGCACTAAAAAAATATCCACCCGACCCCCCGACCCGTTTATTTTTATTTATGTATTTTTCACCCGCAAAAGAGCATTTTAGCGGGTGACCCGTCGGGGACCCGCGGGTACCCGACCCGTTGCAGGACTCTACCTTTTTGTACATTGTTTATTGCCTGGCCGCCCTTATAAAATCTTTCTGGCTACGCCTCTGGTCCTCTGAAATCATCCTGTGCTGCTATTGGTTGGATCTGTGGTGGCGGCAGTTTAAATGTCTGTCAGTAAGAAACAACAGCTTTCCATGAGGAGATTTAATTAGCTGGTAACGCTGTTTTACTTTTATTATTACCTGTCCTTTGTGACAAAGCCTTTGTTCTTCTTTCCAGATTAAAAAAGAAACAAGATGGTAGCAAAGAGGATCCGCTCAGAGTACATGAAGAAGTTCAAAGACCCCAAATGGGAGACATACACCAAGTGTTACGAGGAGATGCTGGCCTACAGGCTGACTCGGAGGCTGCTGGAGCACACACACTACCCCTGGTTCTGGAGCGGCTCTGACAGCGATTCAGACTCAGGGGGAAGGAGCTCAACTTCTCCCACCAGGAACCAGGTTGAAGCCGCTAGAGGAAGATCTGAAGCTAAAATAGGGGAGGCTGAGGGGGTCAAAGCGGACAGACATACTATTCAGAATAAGGAGCAGATTAGGCCTGATCAACAGCCTTCAGCACTCAGTAAGGGTTAAATAGAGTAAATATTGTACATCACTATGTGGTGTTTGCAAATTGTCCTGATTTGAATGAATCAACCTTTAGGGTTGCAGTGTGATGATGCCAAGGAGTCAAAAACAGCACTTCATGGAGAGGAAGAGGAGCAGAGAGTCGGCAGCAGAGCCAGTAAACATTCCTCTGCCCCACTTGGAGACCAGGGTAATTTATTAGATATACTCTGAAATTCTGTTCTGAAAATTGTTGTTTATATCCCAATAGCTGAGTTTCCATTACAAATTGGTGACCATATCGATAGATCCATATCGATATTCTGCTTAATTAAAAAATGCAAAGTTCCACAATTATGGTAACTCCATTAAATAACAAATACTATCAAAATGGTGCGTCCTAAATCTGAAAAGAACATAAGATATTATCCATATTTCAGCCATGGGTAGAGTGGGCACCATCCTTCTACAACTACTGTACTTCTGGTCGTCTGCTTCATCTTCATAAAAGGCAGTAAGGACCAGATGATGCAAAAAAAGCGTTTCCATTGCAGTTTTGCGAAATCCAACAATTCGATGTGACCAAACAAAAAATCACCTAATGGAAGCATGAAACTTTTATTGAAAATTCTTTTCAATAAACTTTTTTGAATAAAAAAATAATTGTGTATTTTATACCCTATTTAATTTCTATTCTAGCCATTGTTTCTGTCTTCTTCTTTTTGCCCACCTTCTGATGTGGGCAAATGCTTAACTCAGAAAATGACATCAACAATGGTGCCCACCCACTGATCTTTGGTACTACCATTGGTAGTACACGGGGTGCTGTGAAGTCACCAGCCACCATATTGGTACTCCCTAGTCAGACGGGTCAGAATGTAAACAATATGTGCGCTACAGCATCAAACAACGATGATGTTCTCAGTTACATGGGGGCTTAAGACTTTTGAAATAAAGATAAAGTAATCACTTTGACACACACTTGCTGTTTCATAGCATCAGTAGATTGCTGTAATTTATGGTAAAAATAGGCCCATCACATTGCATATTCAATATAAAGACTATAAATCATGTACTATACACATATTATGTAAATCCATCACAGCAAAAAGAGTGTGTTAATGGAGCATAATAATACTGTAGTCAGATATTAAGAATATTAAACACGTGCACACACTATCTGATGTGCCAAACGTGCTAAATTGATGATGTATATGTAAAATACATGTATTGATTACATTGTTAAGGTAATTACATTACATTATAGGCATTTTTATGGCACAACTCAGTGAGAGTGGGGATTACCAAGATGGCGGCAGGTGACTTCTATTTTTCCTGCCTATCAGCAATCAATTCATAAGGATAGAAGAGAGAAAACAAAAACCTAGATTTAACTCAAACAACAGAAGACAGTGTTAATCTTAAAGAGCAAGAAAACTACATACACACAGCCAACTAAACTAGCCCCACCAGCCAGCGGCAAAAATAAATTTTGCCTGCGAATTTGGTCTAGCCTCGATCAATGCCCCAGGCCCTAGAACTGGTGGGCAGTGGCGGCTGGTGAAAAATATTTTTGGTGGGGCTGATATAGCCTAGTGTATGTCTCCAACTAATCCGGAATAAGAATTCAAATAAACAATTGGACAATACATACAATTTAACAGTAATGATTTAATTTACTATATAATAACAGTAACAGTGATGATTTGGGTCACTGTGACGGGGTTCTTTGGCCTCCAAGAATCCAGTCTCAGTCGGGTTACCGGTGTTGGGGATTTATTGAGCTCAAAAAATCAAAACAGGGTGCAAAAGAAACTAAACATACAAGATACTCTGGGCCTCAGCCTCCCTCCAGTTACCAGCAATGTAACAAAGAAACAGAAAACAAAAATTGCCGCTTTTCTTCCCACAGCCCTCATTAAATAGTTTAAGCCCCTCACATCAGGCTCTCTTATTTCTGATTTCTTCTCATTAATCAGTTTTGTCCATATATTACCTCCACAAACAATTGATGTACAAAAACAAATAATTTTTACAACTTAATTCTTTTACACAGATTCATTGACTTATTCAATTACACCAAACTGGGTTTGAACCCAGCAAAGACGCAGCCAGACTGAAGATGACAAGTCCCCGTAGCATAAACACGTACACACCCACACCCACACACACACACACACACACCCCCCCCCCCCCCCCACACACACACACACACACACACACACACACACACACACACACACACACACACGGCTAACCCCACTGAAATATTAAGTGTGCACCCTCAATACGCCAGCAGGTAACCAGGAACAGCTTGTGTGTTTTAAGTTCATGGAGCTACTGGTCTCAGCGCGAGTGTATTGGTCCTCACAAACACAGTATAACAGGAATGTGTGTGTGGTGCGCAAAGTTAGAGAGGTTGTTTTAAGCGACGAGGTGGATTCGTCACAGTCACAATAACCATGACATGAAATGTTCATATCCTACAACAGGGATATTCTTCTGGCAAACGGGTAGATAAATAAGGATCTCACCGAATTTGGTGGAAGCTGCATCTCGGTCTTTACATTCGCCATCTTCCCTCTAATTGTCTGCACCTGCGCTTGGGTGCAGAAGCCTGTTAAAGCGCAGTATTTTCAGCGCCCCAATACCATAAAGTTCCGAGACGCTGATTGGCCATTAAATTCACCTAGCAATAGTACATGATTGACAGATTCTCTGCAAATGTGGGTCAGTCTGATAAGCGCCCCCAGAACAGAGACGGTAGGAGTCTGTCTGTGGAAATCCACAAATTAATGAAAGTAGATAGGGAAATGTAGTTTATATAATTTGTTTTGCTTATAGGTACACAGTCTAGAGAGTAAAACTGACATTTATGAGTTAATTTCTAAAAATATATTTTACGTTTCTCTCTTCTTATCAGGGAGGGCGGTGCCCCAGCGCCCCCTATGGGCCGGCCGCCACTGCTGGTGGGCCAATCACAACGCAGAGATGTGTTTTAAATTTTTGGATGCAAAGCGGGCTGGGTTTTGAGGGTGTGATGACGAAGCTGCGCGACGTTGGAGAAAGCACAACAAGGAAGATGGCAACAACTATTTAACAGTTCTCATTTGATTTAGCTTTGAAATCAGTTTTGCAAGGATTAGACTTTGGGTTTTCGTAGAAACGTGCGCAGAAAGAGGCTCTATGCTAATTAATTTTTAAGGACGTATTCGCCGTTTTACCGACAGGCTGTTCATTCATCGGGGCCAGACTAAATTACACATTTAACCTCACATTTAGTCTGGTTTATCAGGCAGAGATAACTTCAAAAGGCAGTACAGAGATTTCTAATAATAATGCCACCTGTGGCCAAAACGAATAACAGCAGCTCTCCTGCTCATTCTCTTAGCTTGCGCTTGTTGTACTTGACAAGATTTGTTTGTTTGTTTTACTTTTTTCACCTTACCTGGAGTTGCCCCTGGTGTCTGAGTTAAACTAGATTCCGGTTGCTTCTGACTACCCACAAATCTCGAATATATAATTCAATTGTTTGCTAGGTCTGACCCATTTAATGTGGACCCGCTTGACATCACATCCACAGAAACAGAGCAGGAACTTCTGGCTGCAGCTTATAGATGCATCAAAGCTGAACCACTGAGGCGTTTGCCTGCTCATCAAACCATGTTTTAGTTGTAAAGGATCAAATAAAAAATAAATAAAAAAATTCTGTAAAAACTCACAAAATATCTCTTTAAAATGATAGTTATGAATTAATAATCCTAATTGCTAAAAGGCATGCTAAGACTGTAAAGAATATTGATTTGCCTTTTTCAGAGAAAGAGACCAGAAAATCCCGACCTCGGCGAACAAAATCCTCCAAATCAACAAGACCAGCTCGCGTCTCCCGGCGCCCTGCAGCTTCACAGCGCTCCAAAGAGGACCCTCAGGAAGACAGACATCCTTTTGCTCTGTATGGCTCAGGAGAAAAGGATGCAGACATCGCAGGCAGGAAGACTCACAATGTTGCTCCTGCGGCTTCAACTGCTGAGGTTATTTTATCCTTCATTATTCTGCAATCAGCATTCGGTAAAGTGCTGATCGTGTTTTTCTAACTCACAGATTCATGAATCGGCTTTGCGGGCTAAGACCAGGCGGAAGGTGGAGCGACAGATCCAGTCCCAGGAAGCTGAACATCGCAGGGCCAAGTCAGCCGATCAGAACAAAGGCGGGAGAGTAGCCCAGCCTGCACTCAACCCATGGGTCACAGAGTACATGTACTGCTACTCCAGTCGCTTTCCATAAATGCAAGAATTAATCATCTTTCTTTCAATCCTTCAGGGTCCTCGGTGTGCATGGTACCACTCACATGTTCAGGATGCAAAGTCATTACTGAATTTCACTGTGGCTCATAAAGACACTAAACAGTAGAAACTATTTAAATCTAGAGTAAACTCAGATGATTCATACAAGGTAAAGGAGATTCGTGAAATCAACTTTTTTGGGGGGCATATTCATGATAAACTGAAGTTTTTATGTTGAAATGAGTGGTTTATAGTTTATATAGAATCTTACAGTCATACTTTTATAAAGAAAGAGCGTTCATATACATATCTCAACCTAGACTGATGTTAGAACCTCAATGAAGGGAACAGAAACCTGTCTTATCGTGTGTTTACCAAAAGCTGTATGGGTAGGGCTGCATGTATCCTTTGACTCTATTGCTGCATGTACACTATATTGCCAAAAGTATTTGCTCACCTGCCTTGACTCACATATGAGCTTAAGTGACATCCCGTTCCTAATCCATAGGGTTCAATATGACGTCGGTCCACCCTTTGCAGCTAGAACAGCTTCAACTCTTCTGGGAAGGCTGTCCACAAGGTTTAGGAGTGTGTTTATGGGAATTTTTGACCATTCTTCCAGAAGCGCATTTGTGAGGTCGCACACTGATGTTGGACGAGAAGGCCTGGCTCTCAGTCTCCGCTCTAATTCATCCCAAAGGTGTTCTATCGGGTTGAGGTCAGGACTCTGTGCAGGCCAGTCAAGTTCATCCACACCAGACTCTGTCATCCATGTCTTTATGGACCTTGCTTTGTGCACTGGTGCACAGTCATGTTGGAAGAGGAAGGGGCCAGCTCCAAACTGTTCCCACAAAGTTGGGAGCATGGAATTGTCCAAAATGTCTTGGTATGCTGAAGCATTCAGAGTTCCTTTCACTGGAACTAAGGGGCCAAGCCCAGCTCCTGAAAAACAACCCCACACCATAATCCCCCCTCCAACAAACTTTACACTTGGCACAATGCAGTCAGACAAGTACCGTTCTCCTGGCAACCGCCAAACCCAGACCCGTCCATCAGATTGCCAGATGGAGAAGCGCGATTCGTCACTCCAGAGAACGCGTCTCCACTGCTCTAGAGTCCAGTGGCGGCGTGCTTTACACCACCGCATCCGACGCTTTGCATTGCACTTGGTGATGTATGGCTTGGATGCAGCTGCTCGACCATGGAAACCCATTCCATGAAGCTCTCTGCGCACTGTTCTTGAGCTAATCTGAAGGCCACATGAAGTTTGGAGGTCTGTAGTGATTGACTCTGCAGAAAGTTGGCGACCTCTTCGCACTATGCGCGTCAGCATCCGCTGACCCCGCTCCGTCAGTTTACGTGGCCTACCACTTCGTGGCTGAGTTGCTGTCGTTCCCAAACACTTCCATTTTCTTATAATACAGCTGACAGTTGACTGTGGAATATTTAGGAGCGAGGAAATTTCACGACTGGATTTGTTGCACAGGTGGCATCCTATCACAGTTCCACGCTGGAATTCACTGAGCTCCTGAGAGCGACCCATTCTTTCACAAATGTTTGTAAAAACAGTCTGCATGCCTAGGTGCTTGAATTTATACACCTGTGGCCATGGAAGTGATTGGAACACCTGATTCCAATAATTTGGATGGGTGAGCAAATACTTTTGGCAATATAGTGTATTTTGATTTTTTATGCCAAAATTTTATGTTATGTTGAGCTGTCAGCTAAAAGCATAGGAAATGGTTTAACTCAATGCTTAATTGCTTAAAGTTTGGCTTGCAGGTAAGCTGCTAAGAAATGGTCCTCATGGTTTAGAGACAACAAAGCAAGTGAAGAATATATTTGGGTAATACGACAGTTTAAAGTACTTTATATTAACAAAACATGAAAGAAAAGAAAATTCCATTGCAGTAAAAGGAGGCAAAGGAAATAGTACTAGAGAAAAAGGTTTATGTTTCAATTAGTTTTGATAGATCAGTCAAAGACAGCTCTAAACAAACAGGGTTTTAACGTTGATTTAAAGGAACTCAGGGTTACATCTTTTTTCTTGGGATTTTATTCCAGATTAGCTGAAGATAAGAACCAGTAGTTTTTTTTTAGGTGGGTATACTGGGACAGCCGTTTTTAGATCTTTTTTTTAATTATGACACAAATTTTTTCTGAAAAAAATTTAAATAGTCAAACACTAAATTTTGTTGTGGAAGCAACTCACAACTCGAGAGAGGAAAAATAAATGTAATTTGAACAAACTTGCCAAATCAGCATTGTACAGAAACAACTGTCATTTCTCTTTAATTTCACATCTATGGTCTATAGACATGGACGCATGTGGTTTTTAGTTTGGTTTAATATTTGATCAATCTGTTAGCAGCTGTGGCCTACATTTTGCTCAATGACATCAAGAGATACACACCAGCTTTCCAACAGGACCACAAGGAGAAATTGGTAGATAGATGATGGATGGAAATTATTTATTCAAAAGTTAAGGGATGCTAAATTTTTTGCAAGCCACTGTAATATATACATGTTTTCTGTGTTCTATTTTTGGAAAAACTCAAAATAAATTCTTAAATCTCAGTGGCCTTCATGATTCCTATTTTAAGTAAAAACAAATACATCTGAAAATAAAAATATTTATCTGATTTTTTTTAAATATATTTTTTGTTTAATAGAGCTGTTTTTATGGGCACAATTTAAAGTCTGATAAAATGTCTTCAAATGATAACGGATCTGTTTCACTATATCTCCTTCAAATTCCACTGTGATGACCTGCTGCTAATGTTGTTTCTTCTTGGATAAAGATAAGCTGAAATAGTGCACTAGATCCTTAGGTCTGTTGTGCATTGGTAAAAGTTTCTCAGCAGAGGTGGAGGTAATTTATTCATATTCACAGTCCAAGAAAAACTGAAGCTTGTGTTCTGCTCCGCCTCTTCCTTATTGATGCTGAGCAGTGCTGTAAGTGGAAACAAATAAGTGCTTTAACTTCTAATAATGCCATACAAATGTGTGACAATATTTAATACAGATCTAACTATCCATCTATCAGTTAATGGTTTTTATTGTTAAAATAATAAGGAATAAAGATGAACCAAATTCTGAAGCCTAACTATATGAGCCAAATTCAAAGTGAGTTGAACCCACTTTTATTAACTTCAGGTCTCATGGTTTTATCACAGAAATATAAAAATAAAGCCATAAAAAATTGAAAATCTGAAATAAAAGATTAAAAAACATAAAGAAGTGATAACTCAGATTTCAATAAGCTCATTACCGATTTCTTCTGAGAAATATTTTTTTCCTTCGTATTAGGCCTTGCCTCAACAAACCCGGGCCACTTTGTCCATATTATTTTACCAAGCGCAAACATTCCCCCCCAACACATCTCTCCAAGTACTGTGGGAGGCAACAAAAATTGTGGCCTGTAAAAAATCATAACTACAGTGATCTTAATGATTGCATATTTTGAATAAAATGTGTAACACATATTATTAGATACAAGCGATGCAAAAAATGTGAGCCCAGTATGTAATTAACTAGTGAAAAATGCTACACTACAATAGGTATTATTTTAAATAAGTTAAGAGCTGGCATAATGATGAATCAGAAACAACAAATGTTTAAAGGTAATTCCCTTATGAAAATGATTTTTCTTGAACACCAGTTAGTTATTAAGTGTGTTATTAACACGTGCTTAACAACACTTTGGACCTTATCTGGGCTAAGGTTTTATTCTTATTTTGTTCTTTGATTCAACTGTTTCAGCTCCACTCTGTTCCAACCCCTGTCCTCCACTCCTCAGTTAGAGGAAGAAAATGTTTGGAGGGTTTTGTCCTTCTAAAGATAAGGAGATATAAAGTTCATAAACAAACAAACAAAAACAATTAAAAAACACTAAAACATGATTTCCCATGCAGTTGTCCATTTCCAGAGCAGCATGGCTTCTTTGTATGAATGAAAAAGAACAATTACTTTAAAAAAGCAACAAAGACATGATAAATGATCTTGTGTTCAACCTTTAAAAAGAAAAGGCTGAGGACAGGGAGTAATATCAGATGCAAATGGTAGATCAGATCATGCTTTTATTTGTTTCCTCATTTTAATCTGTTGTCTATGTTAATTTCACTCCATAATAGGCAAAATACAGTTATCTTGTATATCCACTATTATTGGTACAAAATTAGTTAAAATATTTTATTTCTAATTTTATTACAGCTGTTCTCAAAACACTTTATTTATATAATATTATTTTTTAAATAAAGACAAAAAAACAAAACAAAAACAAACAAACAAAAAAAAACTGACGAGTACTGTATTATTGTTGATTTGCAGTTTGGGGGCAAAGCAGAGAATTTGTGTTCGGGGCTCCCAAAAAGGCTAGCACTGCCCCTGATCTTACCATATTGGTAAAAGTCCCATTATGCACCCTACACTTAAAAAAATGCTCCAGTATTCTAAAGGGGAAATTGATGTAAATGTGATGGTCCTCCGTACTGATGCATACCAGCCCACTTAAAGCACTGATGGTGAGGCTGGCGTGTATTACTTGAGTTAATAACTTTGGTGTAGCTTTTAATAATCTTCTAACAAGGAAGCTTCCTCAAAAATGTGTTTTTTTATGAGCATTTCCGTTACCGCAAAGCTTGATCAATTCTTAGCAAGGCTAATTACCATGGTAATGTACTCTGAATGGTAAATCGGCTCCGGGACAGGCTTTTATTGTAGTCCACACATTAATAATAATAAATGAACTTTATGGATCTCGCATTGGATAAATTGACCTCTGTATTTAACCCATCGCCTTGGGGAGTAGTGGGCTGCCATTGTGGGGCACCCAGGGAGCTAATGTGCGGTTAAGGGTCTTGCTCAAAGAGCCAGAGTGGCAACCTGTGGGGCTTGAACTCAGAACCTTAGGATTCAGAGCTCTACACACTAACCCCTAGGACACCACCTCCCCGTTAACAAATGAAAAGGTCCAACTAGCCAGATGAAATGATTTTTATCTGCTCACAAGTCCTCTTCACTTCTGAGGAGTGGAGGATGATATGCCATTAAAATGCAGTACAGTGATTGGGATGCAGTCTGTGTTAAATGATACTGATGTGTAACTTGCACATTTACACAGTCAGCAATCTTTTGCCTCGATATTCGGCACCTCTGACATTTCACTGAGAATAATTTTTTTCCCTCTTCAAATTTCTGTAAAATTAGTTTCTCAGTGCTCCCCCTTCGGCACTCATGATTGTAACTAGTCTGCTACCTTGAACCGGCCCTTTTATATGTGCATGTTTAAGCTGGATTGAGTTGACAACCAGCTTCGTGGTACTGCTGATCCTGATTACTTTTACAAGTAGATTGTTGTGGATTGGTTAAAATGGATAGGCTGGAACCAATCCCGCTAAGTTGGACTTGCTTCAGGGAACAGGCCTCTGCTCTACCATGGGCAGTGGAGGTTCACTTAGGGACTAAGAAAAATTAGTTTCTTAACTCCTTTAATTTAACTCATTCAATAAATGAAATCAATTAATACATTTAGATCTGTAAATAAAGCTGCAGTGTGTAACATTTACCTCCATTTAAATTAAATAAATGACAAAAGACCAAAAAGCATGCTCTGGTTGGGCCTCCTCATCGAGCATAAAAGAATATATACTTCAGAAGCAGTGGAATGACATTCTCTTCTTTCTGATTGGAGGAGACACATCAACCTGTAATATCTTTCCAATCAGCTAAATTAAACAATGGAAAGCATTGAAAATATCTTAGAAAACAGAGCTAAAAGAAGCATACGGCCTCCTACTTGTATGATCTTTGTGAAAAATAGCAGCTTATTACTGTTGTAACTGAGCTCATCTAGTGTATGATAACAAACTGGCCATCTCCACTGGGGAGGCAGACTAGTTGCTGGACAACACTGCCCTATTTCTAACATAAAGCCAAAATAAACTTTACTATTGTTAAATGACCGTACCTTTCCAGCACACAGCCTGAAACCTCCAGGTCTTTTCTGAAGCCCTGCCCCCTTATAAATGGTCTTCACCTGATCAAAGCTGCACCTATGTGGTTCTAGTTTTCTTCCAAGTTATTTTTCTTTTTATAGCTTGTTTCTCTTGCTTCTCACTGGTCAAAGAGTCAGATAGTTATCTTAAACTCCTCTGCAAAGGACAAGTTTTCAGATACAGGTTAAACAAGCGAGCCTGACAGGTTTCTCCCCTTTTGATGAATATGTATTTATTAAAGCAATATGTTCTTTGATAATAAAAGCCAAATTTGTAACACAGTCACTTTTATTTTTTTGAAAAATTATGATTTTTTTTTGCCGTAATGCACTCTTTTGGCGTTTATACTTCATAGTGATGTCAGCATTTCATCTTTCTTACTAGGATATAAACTCAAAACCAATAAACTTAACATTTCTTGTTATTTTTTTTACAATGGCAGGGCCTGCCAACTTTCGTTACAAGACAGTTTCAGCACTTTTTGCACTTTGAATAATTTAGTTCATTCCAAGAAGGGATGAACTAAATCTCCCTGCCTGGGTGCTGCCCATTTCATGGCATTGCAGTTATAACACATCTTCTGAGCTGTGGCTGAACAAAGCCACAGACCTCTCAAAGCCAAAAAGGAACATTTTAGTTTGTCCCTGTACAGATACGATGCTAAAACAGCCACTTCATCTAAACATTGATAGGAAGAGGGGCTTGTCTGCAGTTCTGGCACCGCACAGTCAATGTAGGTGCTTCCTGGAGGGAGCAAAATATCACATACAGTGGATAAAATAAGTATTAAATTTGCTGCCATTCTTCCTCAGTAAATATATTGGTGCTATTGACATGAGTTAAAAGATCATGGTGAAAGCTCCACTTTGTGCTGTTAGCTACGCTTCCAAAGGATTGGTTATAGCTGCTATGGAAAGTATGTTCAAACTTGACACATGAATCTCCTGTCACCACCAAAGGTGCTGCAGCCAACAGTTTTCCTGCTTCACCTCCACAGTATCAAAACCATTTTACCATCAAGACCATAAAGGGTTCCCTAAAGAGTGTGCTGTACCACAGGATGCATCGATAGTCCAAGTGCATAACTGTCAAATCCATGAGTCTGATGCACAATGTTCTGCTCAGTGATGTCAATATTCAAACAAATTTATAACAATTATCATTTTTAGAAATTTGACTTACCTTGTATTGCAAGTAATAGTCAATAATAAATATGTTACATTTGTAATTATAGATTCAAACAGTGTTTACATTTATTAAACTATTTTAGAAGTAATAGTTTAGCATGCCTTTATGATCAATAATGGAAATAATTATTTTCAGGGAATATTCCTTCTAAAAACATTGACAATTCAGATGTACTTCTGTAAGTGTTTACAAATAGGCCAACAGGGCAAAGAGCTATGATGTGGAACCCTATCAAGTAGAAAAGTCAGTTTGTTCATGAGGTCCAAGATGCAAGTGTTCGCTGACTCAGAGAGGTTTCTTAAGACCTTATTAAAATTAGATTCTGATGAACTCCATCTCCCACCCTGACCCCCAGATTCCACATCCTCTGTCACCGCTCCGCTCACATTCGTCCTGCTGAATACTTGTGCAGTCATGTTAATCAATGAGCACTGTTCCACCGTTACTCCTCTGAACGTCACCATCCACTTACCTTTTCCCCATAAAGATAAGGAGACAAGCCATTTTATGCACCACACTGCCCTGTTGGAAGCAGGTCAGGTCAAGATCGGCTAATTGCAATCAGATCAAACAGGAAAAAGAACATAGAGAAGATCCGGTCTGGTCAAAGTAAAACAGGCCCATGGTAACAACAGACTGGTAACTAAAAATCAGAGCATACTTTTATATATATTCCTAAAAGAAGAATAGAATGCAAACTATTGGTAGTTCAGCATACCAGGAAGCAGATTTGTCATCTTGATCATATTTATTTTATGCTGAAAGGCTTGAAAATGTTGTCAAATCTAGTCACATCTTCCAAAAGCGCACCTCACAACCTCAAAATAAACTTCTTATTGCAGACATGGACAAAGAAATGTTGACTTAGGAAAAAGAGAACAAACCGATTTTGTATAACCTTAGTTATCCCTATTACAAAGATCCGCAACGAAAAGAATGTTGAATGCAGATTTTTTATCATGTCATATTAAATGAAGCGTTCATTACCTCGTATTGTGTTACTATGAATTAAATATAGCGCATGCGCTCCTCGAGCTCCCAGGAAGTCAGAGCGGAGCAAGATGGGAGGATCCAGAATTCTGTCTGGAATGAAGCAGGCGGAACGGAGGATGTGGGATTTCGGGGTAACTCCTAGACAGGTTTAACAAAATCTGTGTCACAGTAAAAGGTTGTTTTTTTTCTCCCCCATGTTTAAATTCAAAGATAATTGCAGTAAAGCCTTTAACATGCGCCTGACAGGGTAAAGCCCTCTCTCAAGTGTGAGTTTTTCTGTGAACCTTTAAATGCCCTTTTTGAATAAAACATTTTCCACATGTTTGACAAGAAAAGGGCTTCTCTCCAGTGTGAATTCTCCTGTGAATGTTTAAATAGCCACTTTGAGAAAAACCTTTTCCACATATCGGACAAGAAAAGGGCTTCTCTCCAGAGTGAATTCTCCTGTGAATGTTTAAACAACTAATTCGAGAGAAGCCTTTTCCGCATATCGGACAAGAAAAGGGCTTTTCTCCTGTATGAGTTCTCCTGTGATCACGCAAATGACTTTTTTGAGAGAAGGTTTTGCCGCATGTCTGACAAAGAAAAGGCCGCTTTCCAGTGTGGGCTCTCTTGTGATTCTTAAAACCTTGGATATGAGAAAATTGTTTTCCACATGTCTGACATGAAAAGGGTCTTTCTCCAGTGTGTGTTCCTTGATGCTCTTTTAAGTCTGCCTCCCTCCTAAAGGATCTGCCACAAATGACACATTTGAAAGACAGTTTCTTTGTAACAGGCTTTATAGATTCTGGTTCATTCTGTTCCTCTTCAGTCCGAGAAGATTCTGGCTCCTCAATTTCTTCTTTGATTAGTTCTGAATCCTCCTCTTCCTCTTTAATCCATAGAGGATGCTGTTCCCCTTGCTTTTCAGTCAGAGAATGATCAGGCTCCATCTTTTGTTCTTCATTTCTAACAGGCTCTGCCTCCTGCTGGTCATGTCTGGAACTCCTTCCCTGGTTAGAGAGCTGTTGGGTGGCAAATAAGTCCTTATTGATGACAAGCAGCTTTGAGAGGTCTGCAGGAACAAAGGGAGATATGATTAAGATATTTTTTTAAGTAATTAATTCTTCATGTGTAACATTGTTCATCTAAATTTAATTTAATTTGAAGTTTGTCATTTCGAAGGAGGTGACGTTTACAGTGTTAAGTTTCCTCCACATTTATTGACAGCGCTGGTAAAGATGTTTTCAGATAAATTAAGCTTTTATCACAACAGCAAAATTTAACACTGATAGAGAATTAAAATCCTTTAATTTTAGGACATCTAATCAGCTGGGAAATCAGCCCACTTTAAACAAAAATGTTTCCAACAAAGTCACCATCGCCACAGTTATTGAGACCAGAAACAATTCTTTAAAATAAAAGGTAAACAAACTATTTTAAGAACTTCCCATTTTAATTTTGTTGAGTGTGTAGGAACTATAGATATTAGAGCCCGGCATTCTGGTTTGCTAGAGTATAGATTCAAGTCACAATGATACAAAAACTTCAAACTCTGTATCAATACCCAGCATAATATTGGATACGTGATACAATTTTCTATGCCATGGGAATTGAAAACTGACTAATAATAAAAGACAAACATTTGATCTTAAAACTCACCTTTTTTTCAATCATCATACAGCATGCTTTCTCAACAGAACCAGGTGCTGGTTTGCAGATAAATAGAAAAAAAAAACTCAAATCTTACACAATTTGATGATATCTTTATGCTGTCTAAAATTTTATTATTTTATGATCAAAGAATTCCAGATATCTGAAATTAACATTAGTAAAAATATGCAAAAATGAATTAAATTCAGTTTATTTTAATAGCAACAATTCAGTCAACATGTCATCTCTTTGGCTACTTGTCTTGGGTATCGATACCATCTCAAAGTAATATTATATATATCCGGATACAGCGTCTGAGTATCAATACTACTGACACCCTGATTATGAATATGAAAAGACAGAGTTGTTTCTTTAAGCTAGTATTCTCAATAAGAATGAGGACATCTCCTTAAAATAAGACAGATATGTTGTCAAAAACAAAAAACAAAACAAAACAGCAAATGGATTTTTGAAAAGATCTACTGTCCAAAGCCCAAGACCAGCAGTCAGAAAAATAAAGAAAGGCGAGAACAGAAGAGATGTCTCAACACCACACGATAAAGCAGGAGAAAAAGTCTCCTAAGCCCTATCTGAAATTCTTTTAGCAGTGTTTTTATCATTACAAAAATATCAGGGATTTTGACGCAGGCTTAAATAATAAGATATTAGTTGTTGTTGTTTTTTTTTTTTTTTTTTGCATATATGGGGCTGATATACAATATTAATATTGGGTATTTAACCCTAAAGAATACCCAGAAGGCACTAAACAGCCAAATAACCATCATTGAGGGACTTTTTTATTCACCTATTTCTATTCAGTAAAGCAACCAGCTGAAAATGCAGAAGCTTTCAGCCCATATCAGTTTGTTCTACGTTTTTGTTATCAAATCCAAACAGCACTGTCTAGAACAGATGAGTTGGAAGACAAATTAATAATAACATTGAAGATTTGTCAGCTGTCCTTGTTATGACAGGAAAGAAAAACAGTTTAACCACACAAGTAATTCATTAAACAACCCAGGATTTTTTTCCTCAATAATAATGACATTTTAACACAGAACAAACAAAAAGCAATGCAATGATTTTAAATCTGATAAATAAAATTTATAGACCATATTTCAATGAATCATATACCCTAAATCTGTTAAAAAGATTTACTCTATAATTGGCCTTATTTCTACAGTCTAGAATTAAATGAGGGGTAAAATTACCAATGTTGGAGGGTTTTGTCTGAGGCGAGGTGGTTTCCAACAGTCTGATATCTTCTTCATACCGAAAGATTACTTTTTCAAACTCTGTCAAGATTTCATCGGCAGCAGCAGTTAGTCGCTCTCTGATAAACTCTCTCAGAAGCTGAACTGAGGACATGGTTAGCGAACTACTAAAATCTACAAATGGAAATGGTAAAGTAGGAACCAGGTTAACTAATCATTCCTGAGGCACAGAACACTCGCTACATTTATTCTGGCTAGCGGCTTCTTCCTCTTCTTCTCCCTCATCTTAGGCTTCTTCGTCGTCTTCTTATTTTCTATTATGTCGGATCGCAAGCAACTTTAAAGTGCATACCGCCACCTACTGTTCATGAATGTGTAGCAACATTACTTTACTTGGCCAGCGGCTTTCTGTTCTTCCTCTTTATATTGTCGGATCGTAAACCACTGGGCAGGTGTATATCGCCACCTACTGTACACCTACTTGTTCCCTTATCCTCTCTTTCAGCGACATATTTAAAAGTGGTTGCCAAAACACAATCCACACTTTTTTCTCCACAAACTTCATATTTATTATGTCGAAATAAAAACAATTATTTAGATAGGTATGATCCAATCTCAATGTAATCGTTTTTACATCTTCCTTCTACTGTTGTTATTGTTAATGATTTTTGTATTTTATGTAGTTTTCTTCCTTATATTCAGTCTATCTTTTTTTTCCATATCTCTACTTCTCCTTTTTTGTTTTTTGATTTACCTTCATCAAATGAAATCTGTACTGTTACTTCATTCTAAGGCCCTTTTAATTAGTGTTTCTGCTGTTTAATTTCCATCCACTGGAACCCAATAAAACTGCATATATTTTAAACCAGAATAGCCTGAATAAACATGTTTTACCAACAGAGGAATGTATTTTCTGCTTCTTTTGAATCTGTGCTTACCAACACCTGTAGTGTCCAGTTAAACTTCCTTCACCAACATACAGCTGACATGAACCAGCTGGGTCGTTCATTTATCGCCACCTGCTGGACTAGAGTGGAACAGCAGAGTGTCAAAAAAAAAAAAAAGAAAGAAAAAAAAAACTGATTCCATTCCTTGAAACTGAAATGAATACTAACAACTTAGGTGTTGTTAGTAGAGATGTGGACCATGAAACATTCTTTAGATTTAATTTAGATGTTAATGAGGAGGAAAAAAAAACAAATATGAACATGAGACAACCCATACACAAGCTTTATAAATGAGAGGGTAATCTTCACCATAGTTCCATGAGCAGATATGATTGTTTCTTTGTAGGACTGAAGTACTTGGATGATGAATGACCAGTAGAGCTATCTCTTTTCTTTTATTTCATCTTTCATCTTCATTGGTCTCTTTTATATATATATATTACTTTTTTTCTTTTGTTATTTCCTTTTTTGGCTCCAATAAATAATAAAATAAATAAATATAAATATCTATCTATATAAAATACCCATGATAAACACCCTGTGAAATAACTCTGTATAATGATCCTTCTATTAAAAAAAAGCTGTCATATGTAGACGCACTGATATACCCCATGCACCTTTCTTTGGCACATTCTTCTTTTTCTTTGACTATTTTTTGTCCAATTAATCAAGTATGTTTATTGAGTGTTCTAAGCGATAAAAGAGTCCAAAATTATAGAAAGACTAAAGACCCTCCTAAAGTGTAAGTGTTTTCCCTGACCTCTCACCCACCCCTCGTGCAACCTTGGTGGCAGGGTGGGTGGATTCTTTGTCTCAAGCTCAGCTCCTCTACCAGAGGCGTGGGAACCTGAGGGTTCTTAACAGTATCTTTGCTGTCTCTAGAACTGTGCTTTTCTGAACTGAGATCTCTGGTGTTGCTCCAGGTACAGTATGTGTTGGAGCCACTTGGTCGGTGTGGCTCCAACAGATGGCCCCGATGACCAGGGGCTCTACCATTGCCTTCACCTTCCATGCTCTTTCTAGTTCTTCCTTGAGGCTTTGGTATTTTTCCAATTTCTCATGTTCTTTTACCATCATTTAGGGATGGCCACATCAATCACTACAGCTGTCCTCTTGATCACAATGTCCAGTTAGGCCACAACCATTTTGTCTGTTTGTTTCTGGTAGTTCCATCAGATTCTGTGTTATTCTCCTCTATCTTGGGAGATGGCTCCAGGGGTGGAGCTAGATGGGGAGCCAGGGCCACCCTTAGCCAATCATTGGCCACCCCTGTGGACACCCCTACCATTTTCCCCCCCTCTAATACAGATGGTGGCAGCAGTAATACTCTCAAGTTGAATATGCAAAACATTTTATTTTTTTGTGTTTGATTATACACATCAATATACTAACATCAAAGATGATAAGTACAGAATTCATGCTCTTTTCAGACCTAGATTTTGTGTTTTATTGGGTAAAGAGTCTGCAAGTCATCTAGGAGTATTCAATGAAAGATAGATAACAATTTTAGTAAAAACATATCAAATAATCAATCTATGTAGATATTAGTGCTTGTAAATATTAATTTTACGCTGAATGTTTATTGATACAAGTAGGTAAGTAATGACAATGATGATTGATTTCCCCCCCAGAACTCAAAACTGAGTTTTATCCGCTATACCTTTCATCTAGAAATTACGGATGTTTAAATATATGTGTCTATTTGTTAGCAAAGGCTGTGGGAAAGTATAGTTAGTCTTTATTTAGAAAATATGGATGTTTTGCTAGTTAATGTTCCTGTTGGAATAGTGTAGATTGACCATGAGGTCCCTCAGTATACATTGGTAATGCCTTGCCACCCTTTCTGGCTACGCCTCTGGGTGGCTCCCAGTTTGACTCTGGGGGTCTAAAGTTTGTGTTCTGCTCAGATCTTTCTGTAGGTTACACCATGTATTCCTGCCAATATGTTGTAGTATCTTAAGCCCTGCTGTGCGATGGTGAATTGTTTCTGGGGCTTTTTTGTAAAGCCTGGTATGGTAGATCTAAGCTTCCATTGCTCTGGTGCCCAGGGTCTGCTCCTTTACCTTTCTAACAAGAGGTAGGATTTGGTCCTATTAGCCACTTCAGCTATCTTTCAGTGCTATGCCACTCACAATATGGCGGATAAATTGACCTACAGCTCTAAAGACGTCACATCTTCGTGTAAACCAATCAGAATCCGGTAAAATTCGTTCTGCTAGCAAAATATCAAACTGGGATAAAGAAAGCAAGACGAGTTTCGATATAATTTAAAGTTTATTACAATAATACAACGTGTAACAAATATGTGGCTTTTTATTTATACATGACGTCCTTGTCATCCACTATTAGCTGCTGTAATCACTTACTGTTATCATATTAGCATAGTTAGGCTACGGAAGTAGACGCTGTAAAAAGCGCAGCGCGCGGCTCAGCCCTTCATTGTGACAGCTTTAGATTCTCTGAGCAACTGCTGCTATCATGGCACGGGTAGAAACGTCCCCCAGCAGGCCTTACCACCTGGTCATCTTCGGAGCCTCTGGCTTCACGGGGCAGTTTGTGGTGGAGGAGGTGGCCCGGACGGTGTCCGAGGGTCCGAACGGGAACCTGAGGTGGGCAGTGGCTGGAAGGAGCAAGCAAAAGCTGGAAAAAGTTCTGGAGCAGGCCGCTGGAGTCCTCAGTATGTTTCTGAATCACACTTGTTATGTTTATGTGTTTTTAATAATTGTTCCAGGGCAAGGGCGTAGGTTTGATTTGAACTTTGGTAGGGACACAATTGGTCAGGTGTCATTGGTGCTGTGCAATATGCATGCCTTTTTTTATGCTCGATGTGAGCATCCGTACTGATAAGAGCAATTCATTGTTAAAAGAGAAAAGCATAATTTTGCTACATTAATAAAAATGTTATAAGCACTACACTCATTAGATGCTGTTTATCAATGTTTGAAGTATCACCAGCTCTGATGAATGTGGAATTAGGACTGTTTTCCACTTTGAAAATGGTTTCATTTAAATGACTAAGAGAGAAGGTAAATACAGTATTTTCTTTTGAAGATATAGAATTATGCAGAGGTAAACCCCACTCTTATATTTTTTACCTACTATGCTCTCTTTATATCAAGCAAAATAATACATTCATTAAAATATTAACTTCACTATAAAAGTTGAACATCTGGGCTGTAGTTACTCTGTGTCGCCCAAATCATGTATTTTATCTGGGGCTGAAAAAATGAATTATATTAATTGATTATTTCAATAATTGTCAACTAATTTAGTGAGTGATTCATCATTAACTGAAGAATAGAGACTCTAAAACATAATCTAAATGTAAAATGTGCCTTTCCCCGACAGAGCAACCCACTTAAATCAGTAATTATACCAAAATTGTAATTATACCAAAATTGTAAAAATACTTATATATATATATATATATATATATATAATATTTAAAAAAAATTTTTTGTATGTCAATATTCTCCATCCAGAACTCCTCATGTGGAAATATTTTAGTTTCACCTGGTTTATTTAGACATCACCTGAAGCACTGAAGGGCCAGCTGCTTCACCTACAAGCTGCCCTGCAACATTATTGCTGGATATCTGTGTTTCCTATAATCATATAATGTATAAGTGCATTTTTAATAGTAAAGGATTAAATGTAACACAACCTTTTATCACCATCCTATATTGCTTACTGTCTGACTGTTTAAATAGCTCCTTATGTATATTTTCTTTTTCAGTGGCATCATCTACAAACACAACACTAAGAATGAGCCTAAGTGTATTCAAATATAAAATCACTTTTAACAATTATAAAAGACAATATATCAATATATTATCTGTAATTTAATAATATCAAAAATAAACAGCCATATTCAAGCATTTTTACCAGACATTAATGTTTGTACTAATTTACTTATTGACGGTGTGGAAATCTTATATGTGGAACCCTAATTATGCTTTTTAAACGATAAACAGCAGATGTTTAGCCACCATTTCTTGTTGTTATACTCTATAAGAGAAATAACACCTGCTAATAATTATACCTGAACTTTCTCAAAGAGTCATCAAAAAATGAAAACAGTAACAGCAACTAAATATCGGTAAAAAGGAAACCCTCACATTTTCTTTTTTAGGTGGCTGTGGCTAAGAATCAGAAATGTTGATGACTTACAGCCTTTATTTGCCCATTTTTCCAGCAGTCTTCAGAACTCCTGGCTGACTCAGGATATTTCGTTTTATAAAAGAAAAA